CCGGATGCTCCACTTCTTCTTCTTTTTTTTTTTTTCTATTCTTTTCTTTCTTTTTTTTTTTTTTTTGACAGGCAGAGTGGACAGTGAGAGAGAGAGGCAGAGAGAAAGGTCTTCCTTTGCCGTTGGGTCACCCTCCAATGGCCGCCGTGGCCAGCGCGCTGCGGCCGGCGCACCGCGCTGATCCGAAGGCAGGAGCCAGGTGCTTCTCCTGGTCTCCCATGGGGTATAGGGCCCAAGCACTTGGGCCATCCTCCACTGCACTCCCGGGCCACAGCAGAGAGCTGGCCTGGAAGAGGGGCAACCGGGACTGAATCCGGCGCCCCGACCAGGACTAGAACCTGGTGTGCCGGCGCCGCAAGGCGGAGGATTAGCCTAGTGAGCCGCGGCGCCGGCCAAGATGCTCCACTTCTGATCCAGCTCTCTGCTATGGCCTGGGAAAGCAGTAGAGGATGGCCCAAGTCCTTGGACCCCTGGAACCTTCGTGGGAGACCCGAAAGCAGCTCCTGACTCCTGGCTTTGGATCAGTGCAGCTGATCCAAAACCTCTCTCTCTCTGCCTCTCCTTCTCTCTTTGTAGCTCTGCCTTTCAAATAAATAAATAAATCTTTTTTAAAAAAAAGAAGTTGTCTTTTTGGGAGCCGGCATTGTGGCATGGCTGGTAAAGCCACCACCATCCTAATTGGGTCAAGTCCCAGCTGCTCCACTTCTGATCCAGCTCTCTGCTATGACCTGGGAAAGCAGTAGAAGATGGTTCAATTCCTTGGGCCCCTGCACCCGTGTGGGAGACTCAGAAGCTCCTGGCTCCTGGTTTCGCATAAGCGCAGTTTTGGCCATTGAGCCATCTGGGGAGTGAACCAGCGGATGGAAGACCTCTCTCTCTCTGCCTGTGCCTCTCTCTAACTCTGCTTTCAAATAAATAAATAAATCCTTAAAAAAGTTGCTTTTATAAAAAGTTTATTCATTTTAATTTCTTTGAGAGAAAGAGAGAGAGAGAGAGAGAAAGAATCTTCCAGCTGCTAGTTTACTCTCCAAAGACCTGTAACAGCTGGTGTTAGGCCAGGCAAAGCTATGAGCCAGGAACTCCACCTGGGTCTCCCACATGGGTGGCAGGAACCCAACACTTGAGCAATCATTTGCTGCCTTCAAGGCACGTTATTAGAAGCAAGAGCAGAGGTGCAACTTGATCCTAGGCACCCCAATACGAGGTGTGTCCAAGCTGTGTCTTAAGCTGCTGCACTACAACATGCATCCCTAGGAAGCTGTTTTAAGTGACATATTCGTGGAGTCCTCATGAGCTGAGTGTAAGTGATACAGGCTTCTGAAGAACACGAGGCTACTCTATACCCAAGTGCTATCCTTCTTCTTCTGCACCCTCAACTAGATGAGAAAATAGTGTCCATCTGACACTCACGGCTCACTGGAGAAGGATGTCATAGACAACACAGAAGAGGGGGAGATGAACCAAAACAGTGTGCTGTTAGAGGCATGAATCTGGTCTCCAAACATCTTTCTCCAACTGTGCCGCAAATTCTGCTGATCGAATACACCTTGATGAACTGTTGTTCTGTAGGTGGCAGTTTGTTACCTTGGGCCTGGTAGGTACAGTCCTGGACAAGTGAGAGCTACCTTATAAGCTCCATATCCTGGTCAGGACAGAAGCCCCTGGGAGCCAGAGTTGAGTATGTCAGCATGAATAACGAAATCCCAAATGGTCCAAAAGCTGAGGGATCCAAGCAGAATAGTGGGAGCTTCAGTGATAGAAACATTGTAATAAGCCAGTGAGGCCTTGGTCCTTCTCCCACTTGCTCTTGGTGGTAGAGACAAAAGGCACCTGTGGCTGCCAGTGCCTGCTGGAGGTCTAGATTATAAAATTTAAGACTTTGGGCTATCAAAGAGTGTAAATGACACTCATTCATCTGTTAGTAGTAGCTTATGCGATGCTATTTTCTCCCTAACCCTTACTCATCAAAGCTCTGGGAGGCAGCAGCTCTGAAGTTTAAACAGGGGTGATGGATAGGTGAGGAACACTCACAAGCTGGTAACCATTTATAGTCAGTTTTAATAGCTGTCTTCTTCTACATTAAATGTGGGTAATATTACCATTGTTAAATTGTTGCCATAAGGCCGACGCCACAGCTCACTAGGTTAATCCTCTACCTGCAGCGCTAGCACCCCGGGTTCTAGTCCCTGTCGGAGCGCCAGATTCTGTCCCATTTGCTCCTCTTCCAGTCCAGCTCTCTGCTGTGGCCTGGGAAGGCAGTGGAGGATGGCCCAAGTGCTTGGACCCTGCACCTGCATGGGAGACCAGGAGGAAGCACCTGGCTCCTGGCTTCGGATCAGCGCAGCTCGCCGGCCATAGTGGCCATTTGGGGGGTGAACCAACGGAAGGAAGACCTTTCTCTCTGTCTCTCTCTCTCTCACTGTCTAACTCTGCCTGTCAAAAAAAAAACTGTTGCCATAAACATTAAATAACACTCCATACTTGGTAAAGTCATCATTAATATGACATACTGCTTTTTAAAAATGATTTATTTATTTATTTGAAAGGCAGAGTGAGAGGCAAAGAGAGACAGAGATAGAAGGAGGTGTTTTATCCATTGATTTCATCTCCAAATCAGCACAACAACCAGGGCTGGGCCAGGAGTCAGGAATTCCATCTGGGTTTTCCACATGGATTTCGGGGGGTCCAAATACTTGGGCCATCATCTGTTGCTTTTCCAGGCACATTAGCAGGAAGCAGGATCAGAAGCAAAGCAGTAGGAACTCCTGGTGTTTCGATATGGGATGCCAGCCCCTGAGGAATTGTTTTTTATTTTTTACATATTTACTATTTATTTTAAAGACAGAGTGACAGAGAAGGAGAACAAAAGCAAGAATGAGAGAGAAAGATATCTTTTATCCTCTGGTTCATTCCCCAAATGGTTCATTCCCCACATATAGGTTCCACATATATGGACCCAGCCAAATCCAGGAGCCTGGAACTCCATCCAGGTCTCCAACATGGGGAGCAGGGGTCCAAATACTTGGTCCATCTTCCGCTGCCTTCTCAGCTGCATTAGCAGGGAGCTGGATGAGGAGTGGGACAGCAGAAATATGAACTGGCACTCTGATATGGGACGCCAGCATACCAAGCAGCAGCTTAACCTGCTGCTTCACAATGCCCATCCCTGAGGAAATGTTTTTACACAAGCCATAAGCTTTCTCCACTGGGGACCATTCAGGTCTTTCTCAGGATAGAGATGGGCAGGGGTTGATTTGTTCTAGGAAGTGTCCTTCCCTGGAAGCTAGAGTGAGTTTCCTATCTCCATTCTAGTTCTGACCAATAGAGGCATCACTTCCCACTCCTGAGCCTCCCAGAAGATTCTGAAGAAACTGCAGAGCGAAGCCATTATCCTTAATACAGTGGTCTTGGGATAGGCTAAGGCCCTGTGGCCCTCCCTTTATTGGTATCTCCCTTTTAAGACCTCCCAAAAATGATACTTTTTTTGAAAATATGTATTAATTTACTTGAAAGGCAGAGTTACAGAGAGGCAGAGGCAGAGAGAAAGCACTAGAGATATGTCTTCAATCCTCTGGTTCACACCCCAAATGGTAGCAACGGCTGGAGCTGCACCAATCTGAAGCCAGGAGACAGGAGCTCACTTCAGGTCTCCCACGTGGGTGCAGGGGCCCAAGGACTTGGGCCATCTTCCACTGCCCTCCCAGGCCACAGCAGAAAGCTGGATCGGAAGTGGAGCAGCAGGGACTCAAATCGGCGCCCATATGGGAAGCTGGCACTGCAGGTGCCCCTGGCTGCTGGCTTTGGATCGGTGCAGCTCCAGCCGTTGCGGCCATTTGGGGAGTGAGCCAGCGGATGGAAGACCTCTCTTTCTCTCTCTGCCTCTCCTCTCTCTGTGTAACTCTGACTTTCAAATAAATAAATCTTTAAAAGAAAACTTTAAAAAAGCAAGCAAGAAAGACTGAGACCAGATGCTTTCCCTTTGGTCTGCTGGAGGTATCTGAGATTAACCTCTGGAAGCCGAGGAGGCTGGGACTGGGAAATGTGCTGGGAGCTGAGGCTGGCTGATTTTGATGAGGAAAGATGGCAGACCTCAAGGCAAAGAAAAAGGGGTGGTGAAAGCAAAGGAGGGGGTTAAATGAGGAGTACCCAAACATGGTGCAAAAGGAAAGGTGGACAGGACTGGTTTAACTATTGATTTGCCCAAATCCCACTCAGGGGGCATCCCCAAGGCTTGGACAGACAGGGCTCGCACCCTAACCCAGAGACACATCTGCTTCATTTCTCAACTCTGTAGCTTACCACAATTATCTGGACCCTTTTAGTAAATATGTACATCATTGTGGTCAGTGTTTGGCTGCTCTGGAGAGATGCAGGTGATACAGTGCCAGAGCAGACCCACCACTGGGCCTCTGAAAGGCATCATAAGACACAACATGCAGGCCTAGCAGGCAGCAGATAGCAAGATAGCATCTTCAGTCAGGTGACACCATGACAGAAAAAATGGTAAGGCCATTCCACCCATTCAAAGGGACAGATGGGAAGGTGTCTACTTCGGAGGAGACAAGATCAAAAGCTGTAAAGAGGTACTTGTAGTGGGGGATTCTGGAGCGCTATGGCCTCTGGCTGGGTTCTAAAGGCAGTCTTTAAGCACTCAAGTGCCCAGGGCAGATACTGAATTTTTATCTTCGAGGCAAAGGAGCATAATCAGGAATTGGCCTTCAAGTCTTGTCAAAGGGCCAGGGGACATAAAGGACAATCCTATAAAAAGAAAATTTGCAAGTACCCAGTTACAGGTTCAAACTTCATTCTTGTGGTCTACTCTTTGAGAAAGGACAAAGAAAGTCAAAGATAGCTAATGGGATACCTGGGAATGAAACAGCACTGCTAGTAGATCAAAACAGGACTGCTGTAAGCCCTCCCCCACCAGGTAAATTCTATTTTGCAGCTAGCTAAACAGGTACCACACACACACACACACACACAATGGCACAAGAGCTATGCCTGGAGGGTGTCTTTTTACTTCTTTTATTGAACTCCATAAATATTTTCATAAGGCTTTGTGTCATTACAACATCTTTTTTTGTTAAACATTTTTTTAAACACACAACTTTGACACTTGTTTGACAGGGTCAAACAGTCAAATAGAAGAAACAAAAGAATAAACTGGCAAATGCAGAGCAGCAGGGGTAATCAGATTCACTGTTGCCCATCCATCCACCCCAGCCCACCCCACCCCCAAAGCACTAAAAGATCACTATTGGCCTCACACTAGAATTGTTGGAACTCTCTTGTTGCTGTCCTTATAGACCCATTAGAGATATACACATATAGAGAGGGGGACAGAAGAAGAGAGAAAGAATTGTATTTCTGTGTTAAGACTTCCCCACAGCAGGGCCAATAGAACACACTAGCAAAGCCTTTTGTAGAGCAAATCCAGGCCTCATTGAGTTGAGGAAATGGGAGCTCAGGGCCATGCAGAGACAGAGGAGAATTATCAAGTTCTTGGGAGTAGCATTGCTTTGGGGACACATAGGTTTGGGCACTGAGCCCAGGTAATGAATGGATTCCTTTTGGGCTGCTGACCACAGGTTTGCTTTGCTGCCATAGGCTTTGGGGACACTCCAACCAACAGAAAGCTGATTTCTTGTTGCTTTCACAAATGCTGCCATTTGGTATTGTCAGTGGGTTGGGTGGAGAAATAGGGAGTGAGAGGTTAATATCCCTGATCTGGAGCCCTGGGCACAGGCCTCAGGGTGGGAGGGGAGTGAAAAGGTGTTGTAGGCCCAGTGACTTGTCCAAGCATCCCTTCCTGATGTGCCTCCAACTCCTGGAGAAACACATCAAAGCCAAGTCTAGTGAGGTGGAGTGGAAAGTAGGAAAGTGAGGGGGGAGGGTACACTAAAGGGAGGCCTGCACAGCTACTGAAACAGTCTGTTTGCCAGGGAGGACATTTTAGCCTGAGTGCTCGATACCAGGTCTCTTGCCAAGGGAGTGTAAGTAGCTAGGTTATGTGCTGAGCAGTGGTGGCCAGTCCCGAGCCCTGACCTCTGCCCAGATGAGGCTTATCCTTGATTTACTCTACAAGTCTGACTTGGATATGGTGAAATGGAAGCCTTAAGAGCTTGTAATTTAACTCCCACAGAGGAAAGATTTCCAGGCTGGATAGGGCCTGGTCTGAGTCAGGAGGCAATAAAAAAGCCAGCTAAGCTGAATTCCTCATGTAGCCATGGCTGCTGCTTGATAAACTGAGATCTTTTGGTGATGAAGTCTCCTGTGGGGTCCAAGGAAGACTTACAATCTCCAGATTCCTTGGTAGAGTTGCCTTCCACAGCAGGGCCCATCCTCATTCATTTATACCCCATTCTCCTGGCTGTTCAAGGTCTGTATATGCCAAGGGGCCACATAGGGAGGAGAGACAGCTACTCCTACACCCATAGAGACCCTGCTTCTTTGTGGAAGAAGTTAGTTCTGCCAAGTGGAAAGCCTACCAAAAATGAGTCCGAGGGTAGAGTGTCTGTCTCAGACTCTTTGTCTAGAGAAGAAGTATCCCCTAGGCCCCTCACTCACTTGCCTCAATGTCCTGGCATGGGAGGATACTGGAATGAGGCCCTTCAAGTGCCAGAACTGCTGTCAGTATGTGAACACCAGAAATCCTCCTGCGTTAGGAGGGCTAGAGGAAGAAAGAAGACAGGGGATGGAAGGAAGAAGAGTGGGAAGATTGTCCATGCAATTTACTAACAATAGGGGAAGTTTTGCACAACTGGATGGTAGGAACTGCAAGTACAACGTCTGGGTCAAGGCTGTCTCTTTCCATGCCCATCCCTGTTCTTTCCTGAAAGGGCTTACTGTCAGCCTTGGACTCTCAATAATTTGACAGGCAGCTAATGATCTTGGTCAAGCAGGTTCTGACTTGAACCCTTCCATGGATTCCTATAAATTCTGCCTTAAAAATTTGCAAATAGGAACAGGGGTGAACAGGACATTGAAATGACTGCTGTAGGGAGCTCTACCTTACACCTACTTGGTACTGAGTGGGGAAGATAAATCCTTCCCTCAGGAGGCAGAGTCTCAACCTCTTTGCTTCCAGTTCAGATCTTCTGGGCTGGGAGTGCGGGGGGAGACAGGCCTAGGAGGAAACTCATAACAAAGGCGGCTTGAAAAAGAATAATTGGCTCGAACTAACTCCCAGATGCAAAACTGCAATGACCCAGCAGTGTTATACCATGGGAATCCCCAGTGCTAGAAGAAACAGTCCTATTGCAGAATGTTTCAATTAACAGAAGTCCTTTCTACAATCATCATACTCTGACACTCTCTTGCTTCTGTTTGTTTTTTTGATCCCTCTACAACACCTAAAACACAGTGAAAGCAATAGAATATCAAGCAGTGATGTCACAGGGCACAACAGAGCATGTCCAGACCAGCACAACTGAGGGTAGAGGATGCTGGGGAAAGGCTATTTGGAGCAATTGCAGGGCTGCAAGGACATTCGCAAATGCTTGGCTGAGGGAGAGGAGAAAGGGGATCCTCCCCTTCCTCAGTAAAGAGTGGAAGAGGGAAAAATAGAAATCCCAAACTCCCAAACTCCACCACATCAAATGAAATTCAAAAGTCATCAGCATCAGTATCATCAGGAAAGAAAAAAAAAAAACAATACAAATACATCTATGGTAATAATGACAAGTCAGTGAATCACTCACAGGAGAGCAAAGAGATTATCTGAACAAGAAAAGAAACAAATAGAAATGTTAATTTCTGAAAGAAAAGAGGAGGGGAACAGGTAAGAACTGAAAACTTTTAAGAAGGGATCACATGTTTGGAAGTCATTGGTACCTCTTCCTATCAACTACAGATTTTACTTCCCAAAAACAACAGAAAACGTTTTTGGTCCTTCTCTATGTGTGTGTGTATGTGTGTTTGTGTGTTTGTGTGTGTGTTTATGCATGTGCATGTGTGTGTGCATGTACACTCAAGAGTCTCTGTGTATGACCATATATATGTATATATGTATGTATGCATGTATATATAAATTTCAACAGTGCTTCTCCGAAAAAAGGTCCATCTATAAATATAATTTTATTTACTTTATTTTAAAATTATCTGCCTCCCTGTAGGTATTATTTTTTGAAGGGGGTTAACCTGCTGAAGTTTTGCCAGAATGGCGACTGGCTGCGCTTGGGTTCGGTGAACTCAAAAACCTGCGACTGAGCGATGCCATCGGGGACCAGGTACTGGCCCTGGTTTAACGGGTCCTGCGGTGGTGGGTAGGAAGGTGGAACTGAGCGGGCAGAGTTTACACCTAGAGCAGATGGGAGATCAAAAGAGAGACAATGTAAGTTAAGTCACAAAAGGCTTTTCAAATTACACAGTGAGCACTCTGAGTGGACAAGCCAAGAAAGCATAGAGTGTGAATTGATACATATTAAGCATTTGTTGGAGTGTTTTCAGATTAGGGATAAAATCCATGCAGTTATTCCAAAATTTGAAAAATCCCAAAATCTATTTCAAGAATTTCTGATAAGGTATTCTTGAACTGTGTTGTAACTCAATCAAGGAGAGAATTTCTCTCCCTAACCAATTTTTGAATGGCACAGCTGTTACTACAACACCACACACTTCTCCATCTACTCAGATATCACTACAAAATTTAAGGTGTTGTTATTAGTTCTTTTATAGATGTGGACACTGATAGCTAGAGAGAAATGTCATACCTAAGATCACATTATACGTTAGTTACAAAGCAAGGGCTAGAACACACATTATTTCACTTCTCAGTTTAGAGCTGTTTTCAAGAAGAAACAGTCCTATTGCAGAATGTTTCAATTAACAGAAGTCCTTTCTACAATCATCATACTCTGACACTCTCTTGCTTCTGTTTGTTTTTTTGATCCCTCTACAACACCTAAAACACAGTGAAAGCAATAGAATATCAAGCAGTGATGTCACAGGGCACAACAGAGCATGTCCAGACCAGCACAACTGAGGGTAGAGGATGCTGGGGAAAGGCTATTTGGAGCAATTGCAGGGCTGCAAGGACATTCGCAAATGCTTGGCTGAGGGAGAGGAGAAAGGGGATCCTCCCCTTCCTCAGTAAAGAGTGGAAGAGGGAAAAATAGAAATCCCAAACTCCCAAACTCCACCTCTGTCCTGCAAAGGACAAAACAAACTCCATTTAATTCCAAATGGCTTTGGTTTTTTTTCCCCTGTCGAATTGGCCCTGGAAATGTCAAAAAAAAGCCTGGTAAGAACTATTGACTTTAGGGCAGGTCTGGGTGGGGGTGCTGAGGGGGAAGTTTTCTAAAAGCATGAGACACAAGTGACTTAGTATGAGCTGAGGGTGATGAACCTGCATTTAATAGGGAATGGACATTTGTAGCTGCGGAAGAAAACAAACTCACTACCAGAAGATACGATTCAGAGAAAGCAAGGCATACTTGAAATATATTTTTGACCTTTTGTGGGAACAGCATCAATGACACTAATAAGTTTCAAGACCTTTTCAACTTCTGTGTGCTCACAACCATTAAAGTAAAATGGAGGATTCCAGGAATCAGAGGGACTTAAAATTCAAAATTTAATCATCTATATTCAGAAAAGAACAGAATGAGGCACACAGCACATTATTTACACATGCCAAGATGGCATCTCAGCTTCCAAATACCTGCTTCCTTCACTAGCCAATGTTTGAAATTCCAACATTACTGCTTCTTTGTTTGATGATTTGACCCCGTTGGCCTAGTAGTATCAGATTAAGCCACCATCAGTAGTGGCATTTCTGTCAGAAGGATCAAGTTCTTTTCTAAGAGTTAGTTTTGAAAGATGGTGTCAGAAATATGAATGTACTAGATGCCAATAGACAATATGGAGATAACAGATAGGGAGTTTGGGAGAGCTAATTTAATTTTTTTAAAAAGAAAATGTTTTTCCCTAAGAAGGTTCACACCTCCCTTATGATGTCTCTTCTGGTACCCCATGTGAAGAGACAGATAGGTCTGGTCCTCCTACCTGGTTAAACCTTAAAACCCAACTGATTATTATCAGGTCCCTTCTATCAGTTTCTATTTGCCTATCAGTTGGAAAACTTGCTCATGGTTTTAGACAGCACCTTTCTTAGGTCCTCTAATAATGACTCTGTCCTTTGTTTTAGATCCTGTGAGTTTAATCTGCTTGTTAGATTCATTTTCTCCGGACTTGAAACAGTGAAATTCTAGGTGGCCATGCACATGAAACCTCGGATGGAAGCAGTTTGTACAAGCAGGCACTGCATCCCCCTTGAGAAGCCACCTCCTGCTGAGAAGCCACTTCCTGCTGGAACCCTGTCTTGATTGTCATTCTCAAGGATGCCCCTTTTCAGCATGAAGCAGCCAGAGCAGTCATAACCCAGTTTCCCTAACAGAAGTTAGGGTCCATTCTTCTGGGTGGGGAATGTGAGGAGTCAGATGAGTTAAGTGAGTCAGTGTGGTCCCAGTGGAAACTGAGGGTGCAAAATCCTTAGCAAGGTCAAAAGTGCCTGCCTGCCTGCCCACTCCTTGAAAGCTTCCAATCTTATCATGAGAATAGCAAGGGAGTGGTGATTCCTTCTGAGCTGCCAGTTTATAGTAAATAAGGTATTCCACCCTTCTGATGGCTCTTTTTGTTTTATCATGAGCAAGCCAAATAGGATATAAGACTGCAAATTAGGTCTTCTGATGGTTTTGTCCCAGCCTTGTAACTGAATGTCAAGTTTTTTTCCTTCCCCAAAACTGTGCTAAAAACTCCAGTACTACCAGACCCTTCAGGTTTTGCTTCTCTTGAACCACCCCCCCCCCCCCCGCCATGCCACTCTGGCTGGAGGTCTCTGACTCTAATAAATCTTCCTCTTAAATTTCAAAAAAGGATGTTTTATCTTGATATTGTTATAGATCATAATGCAGTAGTAAGAAATAGTACGAAGAGATTCTGCACCTTTTACCTAGTTTTCCCAGTGTTAACATCTTGTAAAATTTTAATTTCACAATCAAAATATTGATAATTCTATAAAATGTAATCAAGATTTAGAACATTTCTATTACCACAAGGATCACTTTACCCTTTTATAACTGTATTCACATCTCTGCTGCCCTCAACACCTTCCTTAGTTCTTAATCTGGCCCTCTTGTAAACTACATCATTTCAAGAGTAATATTCCATGGTATAGATGTACAAGTTTGTTTAATCATTTACTCATTGAAAGATACATGAGTTGTTTCCAACTTTGGCTATTATGAATAATGCTGCTATATAGACAGGCTTTTACATGCATGCAAGTTTTCATTTCTCTTGGGGAAATTTCTAGGAGTGTAACTGCTAGGTTGTATGGTAGTTTTTTAAGGAACTGACAAACTATTTTCTAGAGTGGCTATACCATTTTACATTCTTGTCAGCAAGGTATGAATGACCCATTTTCTTTGTATCATTGTCAGCGTTTGGTATTGTTACCATTTTGTAGTCATTCTAATAGGTGTGTAGCAATACCTCATTGTGGTTTTCATTTGTATTTCTCCAGTGACTAATGAGGTTAAACACTTTATCATGTGCTTAACTACTGTCCATATGCTGTTTTCAGTGAAATATCTCTGAACCCCATTTTCTAACTAGAATGCTTGGTATTTTTACTGTTAGGGACGTTTTTATGACTATAAACAGATTTTATGTGTTCCAAAGGTTCCAAGACAACAACAAGATTTCCCCCTGTGGAACACTGTTAATTATTAAGAGTTCTTTATATATTTTAGACAATTATATTTTTCCAATTATGTGGTTTGTAAATATTTCTCCTATCCTATAGCTTTTGTTTTTAATCCTATTTATAGCACCTTTCCCAGAGATTATCAACTCTCACAACATTCACATCATCATTTATTTTTTATTTTTTGGTTTGAGCTTTTGGTGTCAAATCTAAAAAACTTCTTTGCCTAGCCCTAGATCTTGAAGATTTTTTTCCTACTTTTTCTAAGAGTTCTGTATCTTTACATTTACTTCCGTGATTAATTTTGAGTTAATCTTTGTATAAGGTATAGGTTTATTTTCTCTATCTCCCCCGCCACACACACCCCAGGGAAGTCCAATTGCTTCCACACTATTTGTTGAACATGCTACTTTTTCTATACTGAATGTTCTTTGTGCCTTTGTAAAGAAGGAGTTAGACATGTTTGTACAGGTCTATTTCTGGGTTCTGTTCTGTCAATCTCATATGTTTATTCTTCTGCCATAATTACACTCTCTTGGTAACTGCAGCTATATAATGAGTGTTGAAATTGGATAAATTGATTACTCCCACTTTCTTCTTTTTCAAGATTGTTTTGGCTATTTTAGGCTATTTATTTGATTTTGATCAGGCACTAAAACCTCTGAAAATGGGGCTGTGTTCATGGTCCTGGAGAGCTCATTATTGACAGACTGGATTGGGTTGATAGGCTTGGAATTGCATCTAACTCCTAAGAAGTTTTATCAATATTCAAAACCAAGACATTATGATAGGCAAAGGTGAAGTGAGAACACCTTCATTGGAACTAGACTGGATCCTCTCTGCTGTTCTCCCAACCAGGATTTCCCTTAGCAAAGCAGTACATTGAGTTGATAATATCCCAAGGTGTTACAGATGGGGTTGGAAGGACACTAGACTAATTACCTCTTCAGAGAAGAAATCTTAACAATGCCTCCATCATTTCTAAGGAATAAATGGAAGAAGGATCATGGCAAATAGCTTTCATGGGTAGCTGAAAGAATTCCTTTACACTTCCCCTATGTATACACTGCAATTACTGAATTCCTAAATCTGACAACCACTTCCATATGTGTAGCACCCTTGAGTCTTAAAATATATTAATCACCATAGCCCTGGAGTAACAAGAGAGTCTTGAATATCAGAAATAGAAATATGAGAAACAATTCAAAGGAATTCTGGGAGGTTAAAAATTAGGTGTTTTCCCCTGAAGACTTTAAGATTGCTGTTAAGGGAAGAAAGTTGTTTAGGTGAAACAGAGTTTAGATACTGGGAGTCAAGACAGTGTGTGAGATGTACAACCTGGAGACCAGACAGGGTAGGGAAGGAACCTGACTCAAAGTCTTGGAGTGACATAGCAGGACTACCTTTTCATTGGTTTATCTGTAGATGTTTGTTTGAAGTGTTCTTAGTGAAAAGGCCTGACAGTCTCAGATATGCTTGAGGGTACCTGAGCTGGGATTAAAATGTACCAATCTACTATAGAGGCCAGTGTGATGGGGGCAATAGAGAAATCAGAATGAGAGAAGCTCAGAAACTGAGTCTCCAGGAAACAGAGGCAGGGTGCTAGGACAGTATCCCTTTTGCAGCCTGATACTTCTCTAGTTGACCAAGGCTATTATCTAATCACCACTGTGTCTAAGGAAAACAAGACATTGACTCAAAGAGTTCCCTTGTTAATCCAGATCAGATCATTACTGTCATTAACTCCAGAGTGCTTTCTGACACCATTTCTCAAATTTCAGCCTCAGAAAGATTGGGGGTAGCTGGCTGTAATTTCCTGTCTAAAGGGAATCACATTTCCATGATGAGGAAAAGAGCCAATATTGGCCCCTCAAGAGGAAGAAGCAATAAACAGTTGAAAGGAAGGCATGTCTAATCAGAGAGGCCCAGCTAGGTGCAATGTTTAATGGAAAATCAGATATTCTCGGGCACCCAGTTTCCTCAATCAAAGAGAGTTTCACTGGGAATAATTAAGGGTGCTTTATGTAGATGTAGGACTTGAATCCAATACTCTGTATGATGACTCATTCAGCACCAGAAAACCCATTGAGAAACCAGAAGGAAGGACTTGGGGAAAGTGAGATCTCACTAAGAATGCCTATCCCTTGGGACAGTGACAATGGCTATCAGTAACAGAAGCAGCTATTAGTAATTGAGGTGACACAGAAAAATCCACTCTTCTTTCCAAGGATGGGCTGCATCAGGAGGACCTTGACATGAAGAACAGAGAGCAGTGGGTTCAGAGTCAAGCTGACTTAGGTTCAGAGTCATTTTACCCTGATGAAACTAAGTTTCCTCACCTGAGAAATGGGATTGCTAGTACCTATATTCTCAGTGGGAACCCTAAACATAAAATTAAAAAAAAACCATAAAGATACTGATACTGAACAGGCACTCTCTAACAAGCAGTAAGTAGTTCATTTCCTTGGTTCAGCTGAGTGCTTTAGTTTTGTTCTCATTCATGAGAAAGAGAAACTAAAGCTTTTCTTCAGATTTAAATTGATGTGCAAGGTATTTTTAAGTATTTGTAAGCTTTATGGTTCAGTCAGAGGTCTCCATTCTGATTTGGGGCTCTTGATTTGGTAGGTGCCCTCAGACCAGTGAAAGAAGCTGAACACACATTTCTAATGTATTTCTACTTATTAAATAAATTATAAATGTCTAACATTATCTATATTTCTGAATTATTAGTAAAGCTTCTCTTTGTTTTTAAGTAAAAATAAAGACAAACAGAGGTTTTCTTTTTCTTTTTCCTGTTCCCAGTGAGCTACCTAGGACATGTCCATCCTACACCATTCACTCCTCAACCGTAAGCAGTTACATATACTCGCCATCTGTCAATTAGGGACAGCTGGGGCCTGGGAATTATCCTCCACCACCCCAGAAGAACCCCACTATGGAAATGGGCTTATATGACTATGCAAGCACATGGCGGATAAGCTCTGCAATATCACACATGGCATGTGGAAGTGGGGGAGAGAGAGGCTGGGGGAATAAAAGCAGCTTTACCTTTTTGTTTAGGGACTTTTCTCACAGTCATTGCAGCCTGCCTCTTCTGGTTTTCAGAAATTTCAAAGCCTAAAATAAAAAAAGCACATGATTTTGTTATGAGAACTTGTCTTCTTGAATTTGTAAGTTAATACAATTTTTTTTCTGGAAGAGCAATTTGGTAAGATGTAAAAAACTTTTATACACAAAAAGATCATTTTCTTTGACCTAGTAATTCGCTACTTAATATGGAAACTTGACAGAAACTTAGACAATAACTTAACTACAAAGATGCATTTCACAGAATAGGGGCAAAAAGAAATGAGAACAAAAGTTAAGAGGCTGTTAAATGGATAATTTTTTAAATGAAATATGGTAGAGAGTGGAAGAAATATTTGATGTTGCTTAAGAAGACTGCAAAGAAAAGGTAACGATGAGTCAAAACATAAGAGAATTATATCAGAAAATATTCATATATATAGACAAAAACATTTCAGAAGGAGAAAAAAATTGAATTAAAAAAAGAACAGAAAACTTGGCTAAGTGAAATAAAGAGGTACTTGTTATAAGAGTAAAAGGTCTTATGAAGTCCCAGGTAGGATTAGAATACAGACACACACCTACCAAAACATTGACTACTTAGTGAAATTAGCACGTCAAGGATAAAGAAAAAATTGTACAGGCTAAAAGACAGAAAGAACAGCTAATTTATAAGAGAGATAACATTTATTATTAGAATGAATATCCGAAACACTGGTAGTAACAGTATTTTGAATAACCCCTCGATCAAGAGAAATTATACTTGAATTCACAAATTATCTAAAAAATGAACAAAAGGATATTTTACATCAAAAATCTATGGATATGGTTAAGGCTTTACTCAAAGGAAAATGTACTCTAAATGATTTAATTATTTTTAAAAATCAAAATTAACAAAGTATAAACCTGATTCAAAAACTGTTAGAAAATAATAAATATGGGGGCTGGCGCTGTGGCGCAGTGGGTTAACACCCTGGCCTGAAGCTCCGGCATCCCAAATGGGCGCCAGTTGGAGTCCCGGCTGTTCCACTTCCGATACAGTTCTCTGCTATGGCCTGGGATAGCAGTACAAGATGGCCCAAGTCCTTGGGCCCCTGTGCCTGTGTAGGAGACCTGGAAGAGACTCCTGGCTCCTGGCTTCGGATCAGCACAGCTCTGGCCATTGTGGCCAACTGGGGAGTGAACCAGCGGATAGAAGACTTCTCTCTCTGCCTCTCCTCTCTCTGTATAATTCTTTCGAATAAATAAATAATTCTTTAAAAGAAAGAAAATAATAAATATGAAATATTAGGAATGAGAAAAGATAGAACCACAATTGCGGAATCAAGTAAAATACTAAGACAAAATTGTGGGGCCGGCCCTGTGGCGTAGCAGGTTAAAGCCCCGGCCTGAAGTGCTGGCATCCCATATGGGCGACGGTTCGGGTCCTGGCTGCTCCACTTCCGATCCGGCTCTCTGTTGTGGCCTGGGAGGGCAGTACAGGATGGCCCAAGTCCTTGGGTCCCTGCACCTGCATGGAAGACCTGGAGGGGGCTCCGGGATCCTGCCTTTGGATCGGCGCAGCTCTGGCCTTTGCGGCCATCTGGGGAGTGGACCAGTGGATGGAGGATCTCTCTCTCTCTCTCTCTACCTCTTCTGTAACTCTTTCAAATAAATAAAATAAATCTTAAAAAAGACAAAATTGTGTGTGTGTGTATATGTATACATACACTATATATATATAGTATTGCGTTGAAAATCCAGAGGAAATTAATGATTTTTAAGCAAAATAGATTATCAAAAGTAATGCAAGAGGTAAAAACGTATAGAATCTATGTGAAGTAGACTATACCACTTTCCTGAAGCAGATAAAACAAGACTTGGATAAAAAGATATGGGCCATGTTCCTGAATGAAAACTTGGTAAAAATGTCAAGAATTCACATATTAACACATTTAATACTCTGCCAATCAGAATTTAAATGAAACCTGTTTGGGACCTAGAAAAATGAATTTCATTATCATATAAATAAACATCTAACAACTGTTAAGAGCTAATGATGAAAGAAGAGTGAATGAGAATTGATCCCCCCCAAGGATTTCACATTTCTCAAAGACTAGTGTAATAAAGAGTATTTATTGTCTTGACACAAGTAGTGACAAATAGAATGATGAAGCAGAGTAGAAAGCATAAAGACAAGTTCAAGTATGCATGGAAAGTTATTATATGAGGACTCTGTATAAGTAGCATTTTAATTGTGTGGGAAATAGATGATTTATTTAATATATGATGCTGATACACTGCCTATCCACCAGTAACAAAACAAATGGTATTCCTCCCTCATACCATATACAATAAGTAAATTCCAGATGGATTATAGTTCTAAAACTAAAAAAAAATATAGAAAATTTAGTAAACTGCAAAGTGTTGGTGAGAAAAGATCTTCTTAGGTTAGATAAACACACGAGCCACTAAAGGAATGAAAGATACATTTGTTGAAGTAAAAATTTAAAGTTTTGTACAACTAAGTATGAGAACTAAATTAAAAGACAAATAATAAATGGCCTGGGGAAAAGTATGTGACACTGATGACTTACAAAGTTTTACTATCCCAATACAGACTTCTTGCAAATTTATACTAAAAAAAGACAAAAAATAAAAAGGAGTGTAAGGTATGAATGGGCAATTCACTAAACAAGAACTGAAAATAAATAGCAGGTATATCAAAACACTCATTTCAGTCTTGCTAGATGAGAATGGAAAACTGAAACAAGTAGATACTATCCAGTACTGCAGAAGACAGAGAAAGGGTACCTGTAAAATCATGCTGGGAGTGTAATTTCTACAATTTTTTCCTGAATTGAATATGAAAGTATGCATAAAAATTAAAACTGTTCATATCCTTACATTAGTTGTTCCACTTTAGGGTATCTATTCTACAGCAAAAAAAGCACCAAAGCACCAATATGAAATGAGATATGTACACAGATTATTTATCAGAGCAATAATTGTAGTGAAAATAAAATAAAGTAGAAAATAAAAGCTGGAAAAAAATGAATGTCTAGCAAAAGGGGAAGAATTGCAGCATAATAAGTAGTATTACACGGCCATTTAAGAGAGAAGTGTGATGGCATTTTTTGAAGTGTCAATCTGATTGAACTATGTTTGTCACTAATATAGATGTTGCCATGAAGGTATGTTATAGATGTAATCAAAACCCCAATCAATTGACTTTTTAAAAAGATTTTATTTATTTATTTATTTGAAAGGCAGAATTACAGAGAGGCAGAGGCAGAGGCAGAGGGGGGGGGGTCTTCCATCCATTGGTTCACTCCCCAGATGGCCACAATGGCTGGAGCTGTGCTGATCCAAAACCAGAAGTCAAGAGCTTCTAACAGGTCTCCCACGCAAGTGCAGGGGCCCAAGGACTTGGGCCATCTTCAACTGCTTTCCCAGGCCATAGCAGAGCTGGATTGGCAGTGAGGCAGCTGGGACTTGAACCAACGCCCATATGGGATGTCAGCAATGCAGGCAGCGGCTTTACCTGCTATGCCACAGTGCCAGCTCCTCAACTGAGATTTTTTAAAGAGTTTATTTATTTATTTGAGAGGTAGAGTTACAGACAGTGAGAGGGAGAGACAGAGAGAAAGGTCTTCCATCTGCTGGTTCACTCCCCAAATGGCCGCAATGGCTGGAGCTGAGCTGATCCAAAGCCAGGAGCCAGGAGCTTCTTCCAGGTCTCCCATGTGGGTGCAGGAGCCCAAGGACTCCGGCCATCTTCTACTGCTTTCCTAGGGCATAGTAGAGAGCTGAATAGGAAGAGGAACAGCCAAGACTAGAACTGGCACTCATATGGGATATCAGTGCCACAAGCAAAGATTAATCTACTGTGCCATAGTGCTGGCCCCATCTATTGACTTTTATAAGGGAGAATATCCTGGATGATCTGGATAAACCTGACTGAATCTGCTGAAAGTCCTTAAAAGCATGACTGAAGGCTCCCTCAGGGAGAGAAGAAATTCTGCTTGTGAAATGAAGCTTGTCTGCAGAGTTCCATCCTTCTCAACATCTTCTCTTACTGCCTGTTGATAACAGCTTTGGCCTATGCCAATGGTTTAGGCTTGCCCGTGATCTTCCATTTCTGACTGACAGTTTACAGATTTCAGAATTGCTTAGACAGCCTTAACAACCACATAAGAGAATACCTTGTAATAAATCACTATTTTTAAAAGATTTTCTTTCTTTATTTATTTGAGAGGTAGAGTTACAGATAGAGAGAGAGAGAGAGAGAGAGAGAGAGAGGTCTTTCATCTGCTGGTTCACTCCCCAAATGGCCACAATGGCCAGAGCTGGGCTAATCCAAAGCCAAGGAGCCAGGAGCTTCATTCAGGTCTCCCACGTGGGTGCTGGGGCCCAAGCACTTGGGCCATCTTTTACTGCTTTCCCAGGCTATGTGGATAGCTGGATTAGAAGAAGAGCACCTGGGACTCGAACTGGCACCCATATGGGATGGTGGCGCTGCAGGTGGAGGCTTAACCTACTGTGTCACAGTGCTGGCCCCATAATAAATCTCTTAATAATAATACATTGGTTATGTTTCTCTGGTTGAACCCTAACTGACCAGAGTTGTAGTTATCTGGAAAGTTACTCATGATAAATCAAGTTTCAAATAAGCAAGTTGCAGAGTAATATGTTTAATATAATTTTTATAAATTAAAAAATTTGTACATGTATACAGGAGTTATGGGATACATATAAAAAGAGGCATACTAAACTGTTAATACTAGTTGTCTCACACAGTGTTGAAGTAACAAAAAGGAAAGAATGCTAATTTTTTAATTATCTTCCATATAAGTTTAGATAGGAACCATGTATTTTATAATTAAAATATAAAAATAAAAAGTAATAAATTATGGTAAATATATATGACAACCATAAAATACTGATCAAATTATTAAATTATTTGGTGGAAATGTCAGTGATATAATGTTTAGTGAAAGAATGAGGATCCAAAATTAGACCTTTCTACTGTGGAGAAGCAGGTGTGAGGAGAACAAGGAACAATAGATTCAGTCATCCCACTGGCTCTATTATAGATGTAGGGAAAAATGACTAGAAGGAAATAAATGAAAATGTTTACAAAAGTTATCACTGAATAGTATGTTCATGTGTGAAATGTTAATTTTTTCATATATATTTTGTGTCTTCTGTCCCTCTACAATTTTCTATGATGAAAGTGATCGAATGCATTTTAAAAAGATGAACACAGGCCTATCAGGAAGTAATTTCTAGAAGTTTTTCTGTTGGTAGCAGATTCATACAGTTGCAGGTTATTAGGACATTGTGTAGGAGACATCATGCCAAAGTCAGAATAAATGGAAGGGGTCCTTAAATTGATTCAGGGTCTGTTTGCACACTAAGACTATTCCTTTAATGTCTCTAATAGCCTAGATAGGCTCAGTGACCGCTGATTCCTGCTACTGGGAGAAGTAGCTACCAACATTTCTATACCATTCTACATCATGTCTCAATGAAGTACCCATATACTAAAGTCATTTTGGCTACAATGGGGCTGAAAGTTGAGCTATCAATGCGTATTTTCTATCCAAGATTTGAGGAGAACACTATAATTAATGTGCCTTTCTGATCATCTTTCCTTGCCTCTGCACCATTTCAATCTCTTACATGGAAGGACAGGAGAACTATTTCAAATAAGACTTAATGAGTAGGGTCTATTTTTCCAGATATAGTTTCTATCAGCTTGAGCATACACCATTTTAAAGTACTATTCCATTTCCATAAGGTGTGGGGCAGAGACAGAAATGGTGCTGCTTCTTAAGGAATTATGAAGCCTGACTGTTTGGTATTTTCTATGCCAGGGAAAGGATCATGAACAAGAGACCAAAATATTACCATATAATCCATAAAGCTATAGAAAATGCTGCTTAAACCCCCATTTGCAAGCAACACGAAAAATATTTCTACTAGGTACATTCCCCTGCAAAAGGGGAACAACCTGTTCCAAGCCAAAAAGTATGTTAAATTTAGTGTGACTCAAAGTCACACAAATGGTCATAGTTTAATACCCTGTTAAACTTTATACAATTTGCTTTAAAATATGTTCACACAGAGGCAGCCATTGTGGCACAGAGGGTAAAGCCACCACCTACAAAGCCAGCATCCCATACGGGTGTGGGTTCATGTCCTGGCTGCTCCACTTCCAATCCAGTTCCCTGTTAATGTGCCTGGGAAAGCAGCAGGAAGATGGCCCAAATGTTTGGGCCTCTGCCACCGATGTGGGAAACCTGGATAAAGCTCCTGGCAGAGCGTGGCTTAGCCTTGTCTGTTGCATCCATTTAGGGAATGAATGAATACATGGAAGACCACCCTTACTCTCTCTGTATCTCTTTCAAATAAAATAAATAAATCTTTAAATATATCTTTAAAGAAATAAAATATGTTCAGACAGCATGATATGTATGTACATGTAGTTTTAATATATACTTTTGGGGGCATTTAGTTAATATCTTAAGTATGCTAATCAGGAATAAATACTCTAGAGGTGATTTGTTAACATATCAAACATTCAGAAGCCTTTGCTCCAGAGGCCTCTACAATTAGCAATTTTGCCACCTTAATTCAGGAGGCCTAATTAGCTGAACATATGCTACAAACAAATTTTTATTAATAAAATGAATATTATTCAAGATGTATACCAGCCAGAAATGTCTCACCAACACTTCAGCCCACATAAGAACTGGGTATAAGAATTTAGTGGGTTTTTTAACCTATGCCACTCAGATGAGACTCTGAAACTTCCAGGTGAAAATAGGTCCTATGTCTTGGTCCACGTTAGTGGATTTTGTCACTGGATACTGACTAGAAAGTTGACTGCAAGTGCTGGCACTGTGGTGTAGCAGGTAAAGCCACCACCTGCCGTGCTGGCATCCCATATGGGTGCCAGTTCGAGTCCCTGCTGCTCCACTTCCGATCCAGCTCTCTGCTGTGGTCTGGGAAAGCAGTAGAAGACAGCCCAAGTCCTTGGGTCCCTGTACCCATGTGAGAGATCCAGAAGAAGCTCCTGGTTCCTGGTTTCAGACAGGCACAGCTCTGGCTGTTGCCACCATCTGAGGAGTGAACCAGTGGATGGAAGATCTCTCTCTCTGTGCCTCTCCTTCTCTCTCTGTGGAACTCTGACTTTCAACTAAATAAATAAATCTTAAAAAAAAGAAAGTTGACTGCATCCTCTCATTAAAAACTACCAACTCTGCCTTGGCTGACATTTTCATAGAGGATGATGTCATGTACTCAAGGACAGAGAGCTGATATGTCATTGAGACTACAGAAGAGGTTGTAAAACTGCTTTGATGTTTGTTTGTTAATGAATGCTTGTGTGTTTGAGAAAATCAAGCCTGAGGTTGGTGTTCGGTATAATATTCCCATTTGGTAATGAGACAGTACGAGAGGCCAATCTGTCACTCTCACATATCTCTGACTATTAGAAAGTATTAGTATTTACTAAAAGGAATCTAATAATCAGGAACCACCAATATGGCTTAGTTCTCTTCCCTCTGACTCCAGAAAAAAGAAAAACAATTCAAATCCTGTATGTTCATATAGTTACATTCTTCTTTCCCCTCTCAGGTGACTTACCAATTTTTTCATCTTCCTGTACCATTTTCCTCTCTTCTCTGAAAGCTCTGAGCCAGCGTATTTTCTCCTCCAGTTTCTTGGCAAAGAACAGATGTATCTCCTCAGTCTCCTTATTGTGAAGCTTGAAGGCATTCTTCATGCTGACATTAAAGTCATCGTCTCTGCCATCTTCAATGTCAACCACCTCATATTTATCCATGTCAATGCGGCCTTTGTAGTACAAGATGTCTCTCCGGATTAGGTCCTAGGTGGGAAGGAACAGAAGAATTTTGCTGGAGATACATCAATGTCAGTTCTAGGAGAGTTGGCATATAGGCATAGCAGGACACTAACATTATCATTGTTTTGGAATATCAATAGGGACTGGTTTGGTCTAAATTTGGGCAGGTTAGATTAGCAATCTGATATGGACAGGTAGGTTAAGTAGATACACTGAGAAAAAGCCTCTATCCCATATCAAAGGACTGCCTCAGACCCCAGTGTTGATCCCTGGGTATGTTTCTAAGACTCTTGATGGAATGTAGGGAATAGTAAATCATATAAGCACTACTAGCAAGGACTTTTCCAATATATTCGCAGGCTTACTAATGGCATGAAATGAGGTCATTTATTGCCTGGAGTATGCTCAGAAACCAATGCAGGACAATGATCCTGGATATCAGAGTGGGGATAAGTAATAAGAGTAGCAAGGAGGCCACACGCTGCTGGCTGGGCAGGATTATTTAAAGGACTAACACTTAGCATTCTAGGGATGTTAGATAAGGCCTAGTCCAGGAAGAAAAAATGGAGGTAAGAAGAAGTTCACATATCAGCATAGATGAATCTCACAAATCTTATGTGAAAAGTAAACATTATAGATGGATATAAACAGTATGTTGCTTACTTATTACTGTTATTTTGCTCTTGTGCACAGAGAACTGGATTAATCCTAATTCTTGCCCATGACACACTCATTAGTAGTCCAAGAATTGTACTCATTGTACTCTTATTTATTTATTACTTATTGTTAAAAATGCAATAAATAGGCCGGCGCTGCGGCTCACTAGGCTAATCCTCCGCCTAGCGGCGCCGGCACACCGGGTTCTAGTCCCGGTCGGGGCGCCGGATTCTGTCCCGGTTGCCCCTCTTCCAGGCCAGCCCTCTGCTGTGGCCAGGGAGTGCAGTGGAGGATGGCCCAGGTGCTTGGGCCCTGCACCCCATGGGAGACCAGGAAAAGCACCTGGCTCCTGGCTCCTGCCATCGGATCAGCGCGGTGCGCCGGCTGCAGCACGCCGGCCGCGGCGGCCATTGGAGGGTGAACCAACGGCAAAGGAAGACCTTTCTCTCTGTCTCTCTCTCTCACTGTCCACTCTGCCTGTCAAAAAAAAATGCAATAAATATGACACAATCTAAAAATAACAACCCTAAGGTATCCTTCTTTCCTAAATCGCATGCTCATCATTCCCCAGGTTTCTTTTCTTTATAGTTGCAACTCATCTCTATCTGTTCCACTTAAAGGCATTAAAAACCATACCACATAATGTTTAGGGTTACCAATATACATATTAAACTTACAAAGAAATACATAATAATGATATATACCCAAGAGAGTACTGAGCAGAAAATAGAGGACAAAAAAGGAAGGAAGGGAAGCAGAAGGAGAAGGGAGGAGAAAGACTGTATTTGTAATGAATTATTTCTTAAATTGGAGAATAAGTACATGGGTGCTCATTATATTTTTTGACAATTTTTTGAATGTCAAATACTTCATAAATTAGAAAAGGAAAACAGAGAAATAGATGAAAAGATGTATGAGCCAATGGAGTGTCAGCTCTCATAAGTCTTTCTCAGTGGCTTTTCAGTCCTTTCTCCTCTAAGAATTGCCCTCAGTCTCCTGACAGCACCTCCACTCCTGGGATACATGATGTGGCTGAGTCTGGATGAAGACTGTCCTGACAGATGTTCTCTATTAGTCACAAGGGCTTTTTCTGGCTAATTCTCCATCCTTTCCGCTTGTATCTGGCCTTTCAGTCAACCTGACAGAATCAGAAATGCTTATTAATTTTAATTAACATAATACAGTTTAATTAAACCATTTCCATTCTACTGAATCGCCTGACATGCCTCACTTCTTAGCTGCAGGCTACCAACAAAAGATCTGCCTCTGGCCACCCACATTCCCAATCCTAACTCTTCATACTGAGCAGTACACTGGATTTTTTCAATAGAGCTAAGGAAGGATATCTTAAAGGATTTTCAACATAGCTCTGTCAACCTCAAAACCCCAGGCTGAGAAATATAGAATTTGCTCTACAAAAATAACTATCACATTTTTCTTTTTCCTCCCATAATGATTGTCCATATAAATAAGCTGAGAATGCAGAGTTATGATCATTTGGTACCCTCAACATCAAATTCCCAGAAGAGGAGGGGATTAGCTGTAGAGAGAGGGCCAGTGATGCCTCCAGCCTGTTTCAGAGCCTAGGTTTCTTTTACCATGTTCAAGGAGCACAAGCTCAGTTTTGAACAGAAGGATGGAGTGTATCCTATAAACTGAATTCCACAATTCTCAGGAACAATTTGTGAGACATATATACAAAAAGTACACCCTGTTAGGCTAACCTACCACGAAAGCACAATAAGCTGTGGATAATGGATAGATGTAATCTGTCTTGATCTCAGAAGGAGATCTAGCTATCAAGAGATCAGAAAGATCTTGAATTCTGTCTTACAATATGTAACACAGTAATACAGATCTGGAAATTTAGTTCTGAACAACAGAACTAATAGGTTGGTGTATACCTTGCTAAAACATAGGCAGTCTCAACGTCTCTGTTCCCAAATTCGGTCTATAGCTTCCTTTCCCACAAACTGGTATGTCATAATCATTGTCAGTCTTCAACACCTTTGCCAGTTTCCAGAAATGGAAATGATGTGCATGAACTTGGAGCTACATTACAAGCATCCACTGCACCTCCTATTATTACTATAAGTATTTAAGGATGACAAGGAGTAGCGAGACTTTCTGCTTTTGTGGTGGAGAATAGGACCAGAGAGAGGTATTATTAAATTTTTCCCGTTGCCTGCTATTCTTAGCTTCCTAGAGGGTTGAAAGTAAGTTTTAAAGCATCAGGTTAGCATAGGCCAAGTACAAGGATGTGACAGATATGATTAAGTACTTGGGTTCCAGACACCCTCATAGGAGACCCAGATGGAGTTCCTGGATCTTGGCTTTGTCCTGGACCAGACTTGGCTGTTTCAAGCATTAGCAGAGTGAAACAGTGGATGTAAGATTCTCTCTCTCTCTCTCCATGTTTTCCTCTCTCTCTGGCATTCTGCCTTTCAAATAAATAAATAAACCATTGAAAAATATGGTAAGTACTCAAAACATTCTATTTATATCATCACAACTTCCCTACCTAATGGAATTTATCATTTTTTCAAAGATTTATTTATTTGAAAAGCAGTTACAGAGCCAGAGGAAGAGACAGACAGAGACAGAGACAGTTGGAAAATCTTCCATCCACTGGTTCACTCTCCAAATGGCTGCAACAACCAGTGCTAGGCCAACCTGAAGCCAGGAGCCTGGAACTCCATCCAGGTCACCCATATGGGTGGCAAGAGTCTAGTCACTTGGGCCATCTTCTGCTGCTTTCACAGGCACATTAGCAGGGAGTTGGATAGGAAGTAGACTGGAAATCAAGGAAGCAGCTGGGACTCAAATTGGCACTGATATGGATGCCAGTGTTGCAGGCAAGCAGTGGCTTAACCTGCTGCACCACAATGCCAGCCCCAGAGTTTATAATTTTTAATAGAATGCCAGTTTCCCTCCTTTTCTTTTATGTTCCTCTGAGTTAGAGGATATCAAGGGAGGTAGTATCTTTCCAATGAGGGTGTTGGCAGTCTGCAGACACCAGGGCCCTGGCCCTAACCCATGGTCCCAGCAAGGAGCCTACTTTCATCCCTTACATTACATAATTCAAATAGCTTCTAGCCAGAACAGGTCATTTTGTGCAAATGACATCTGCTGAGGAATTCAACTGTTCAGGATTACAGCCTGCCTCATTTATTTGTCAATAAAGACCACCTTTCCTGTGGTTAGAGGGGGTCCTGGTTTTTGTACCCCTTGCCTAGATCACCCCAGTTTTCTCTCCAGATCCTAAGGAAAGTACACAGAACTGGGACTGGGATTATCTTGCTCATTACTATATTCTAGTACCTATATGCAGTACCTGCTTAATAGTGACAACATAATTATAGCAATAACAACAGCAGCAAGAGTGAACAGCTAAATAGCATATATTGTATATGAAGCACTACCCTAAGTGCTTTGCATTTATTAATTTAAATAATCATCATAATAATCTTACAAGGTACAGTCTATTATAAACTCATTTGATTAAGAATTATAGACATAGAGCAGTTAAGAAACTTACCAGTAATAAAAGCTTCTAAGTGGCAGAACTGGCCTTTGAGTCCAGGTTCTCTGGCTCTAAAACTTGTCCTCTGGTTTAACTAATGTTCTATATTGTCTTCTAATAAAAACTTGCCATATGAATGATTAGTAATATTGCATATACACTACTATAACAATAATAGCTAACATCTATTAAGTAATAACTATGCACCTGTATTGTCTCATTTAAGCCTCACTGTCTTCCTTCATTGCAGATTCCACTATCATTCATGTTTTGAAAATGAGGGGATAACTTTAACCACAGAGAGTTTGTTCAAAATCATATAGCTCATGGTAGAAAAGGGATTGGTGTCCTCTAGTCTGATGCTAGTACCTATGCTCTTAACATTATACTCCATTGCTTCCCACTACCACAGGGGGTTCCCCCAGAACTTCTAGGCCTAAGTTCTACCATCATCCTCAGCTGACATTTAAGAAAATAAGGAGAACATTACAGAACTGGATCTATGTTACACAAGTCAATAAGGGATAGAATAGAGTCTGATATCCAGGTAATCTGTCTTCAAATCCCCATCTTCTTTCTGTTCTGTTCTGTTCTGTTCTATCCCCACCTGTGTTGCTATTGCTATATTTCTGAGTTGTCCGAAGTGGCTCATCCTCTACTTCTGGACCTTCAGTGTAAGAAGAAACCGTGGAAATGTAGGAACTTCCCTGATCAGAAGTCCTCTTTCAGCATGCTGTTTAGTTCTGATCTCTCAGAATATCGTGTAAGCAGTAGAAATGCAGAACAATTCTGACACAGGGTACAAGAAAGCATATCCAGACTGGTACAACTGAGAACACAGAAT